AACTGCTTCTACCACTCTGGTGATTCCGGCTATAGTTTCGTTATCTTTTTTCAAACTAAGAACAAAGAAAGTTTTCGCATTCTGAGTAAAGTTCTTGTAAGGTCTTCTTGCGGTCGGCTTTGTACTCCTTGTCCAGCACTGCAATAAGCCCGTGTCTTATTTCACCTTTCTTTGGACTCTTCAGTCCGAAAGTTCACAGCACACATTTGAGTCCATCGCTGTCCAGTTCTTGGTACTTCGCTTTTTCACAGAGTTCGTTCACTCTTCCAGTGTAAAGGGGGTAATCTTTGGACTCTGTCTTCTCCAACTTTAGACACTGGTACCTCAGTGTAAACCGCGATATATTTTACATCAAAAAGTTGCTTCAGGATTGAAACTGTTTCTTCAAATCTATTGCGGTTTCTTGTCTACCTTTCGAAATCTTCTCTGTCCAGTTTCTCGCAAAGAAGTCGCACTCTACCACTTTCCGTAAGCGGCTTGACATCTTCGATGAAAACATCCTTGTAGCGTGCGTTCCACTGGCAAAAGCTCATATTAGCTTTTGGATCGAAAGCAAATTTTTCGATCCTATTGCTCAGTGCGCACATAAGATTTGGCGCATCTAATGCGGTACTGCTCGTACAGTACCTGCGCTCTGTGCACGAGCGATAGCTTCAAGAAGAGCCTTCATCCCGTCTTGTTGCAAACGCATTTGCTCTTGCTGTAGACGCTTCTGCTCCTGCATCACTCGCAGCATGTTCTCCATAGGAGAGGCATGCTGTCTGCTTTCCATAGTTCTACGCTGCTGCCGTCCATCGCTGTGTCCTCCACCCTCTGCCGTCATTCGCTCTGCCGTCCACCGCTCTGCTGTTCTTTGTACTGCCGTCCGTTGAACTGGTCTTCGTCTCCTTTCTTCGTTTCCGTTGCTCATTCTGATCGCAAGTTTGCCAGTTTGTTGTGTTCGTAGCAGCTCAGCGGAGACTCCTTATCTGCTTTCCAGCGACAAGACAGTAAAGCTGAACTTAACTCTCAAAGCGGCTGCCATATATAGTCTGCTTATTTACATAAACAGAACATAGTGGAAAACATCAATCA